TTCGGACGTGCCGGTGTAGTCCGTTTTGTCATCCGGGGTTGCTCGGACGACGACGTCGACAATCGGGTTAAAAACGCGTTAAAATTCAATCTTCACAAAATTTCGACCTGCGATCGCCGCGATCGATTGTTTCAAAGGGTTAACTCGAGCATTGGACGGGTAACAGTGCAGACGAAGCGAATTGAGGCGATTAGACGCGCTGACTCTCCGAATTGCGAAGTTTTGTGCGAGCGTGTGCGAATTGTGCAAAAGGCCACCCTAAGGCTCAGGAAGATCCTATAGGGAATCCCTTTTGGGTTTCCTCATGTTGGTTTCACCCTTCTAAATGCTAGAAGTCGATACCACACACTTGGAACCACATGACGCGAAACTCCAGAAGGAGACAGAAGTTGGTTAAATTTCTAGAACAAGGCGGGTCCCATTTCTAAGGTTCTAAAATAGTCAAAGAGAGATCCCTAAGGCTAGATCCCAAACCCTAAGAGGAAGACTAGATCTCAAAGACTAGATCTCACTAAAAATCACTAAAAATGAGGTCAACATGCACGCACAACATTGGCAACAAATAGTAGCTTGGTTTATTTAGGGTCTGATTATGTCTGTTTTATCAATTTTGATATTTCAAATGAAATTTTAACACTTTCAAAGCCCAATGAAACATCTATAATTAATTTTAAGTAAAGTTAAATAGTTTGATCTTTCAATAACTCCTTAAATTGACTCACTAGTTATAAAAATGATTGAAGTTTTAATTGTGGAGACCTTGCATGATTTATTGCCCTAAGAAGAGGTCCACATCAACATCCAATGATGATGGTGCCATGTAATTTTTTTGAATTATAATTTTATGCCTCAAATTTCTTAATATATATTTTTCAAACAACAAACGCTTTAATGTCCAAAAAGTAGGAAGCAAAAGCTAATATATGTCACCATAAAATTTATTTGATCATGCACGATTCTTATTTCATTTTAGATGTGATAGTGTTCATAGCTAAATTTAAGATCACCAGGTCCAACAAACTTATAGTTGAATGGAATGTTTAACAAAATAAATCCAACAATATCAAAAGTGGTCCAATTCAAATACAGGTGCGCTCAAATCAAGAAACTAAAAAAAGTTGAAACTTTTAAGACATTAATTGAAGGATTGAACAATCTCTAAATCTTATATACTTATAATCAAATTGAACAACTTAACAAAAAAAAATATAAGGAGCACAAAAAACTCAATTATGAGGTCATTAATACACATATATGCAAAAAACTTAGCCTATAATCAATGTAATTAATATGAGCTGTTCAATAAAAAGTTTTGAGATTTTTATTAAATTTACCAAAATAATATATAAAAAATTATAAATAGACCATCATTTTAACATTAAAGAAGCCCTCGACTTGAGTTTGCAGAAAGTTTAAAGATACAGACAACTCTAAAGCTTTGTCTGATGCCTAATGCCAACAACCACATGCAACTATCATCATTTCAGTACTATAACTCAAGTCGTCATTAAACCACTATTGTCAAACTGTCATCATTCAACAACTGTTAAGAATTATAATAGGAAATAATTTATTTCTATAAGAAGTTATGAGGAATAAATTATTTCCTTAATAAATAAAGAAGATATTTTATTTCCTATTTTACATTTATTTCCTTAGATTATGAATTATTTATTTTCCTATTTTATATTATTTCATATATCTCCTAATAATTAATATGAATTAATTAATATGAATAATATGAATTAATTATTGGAGATATCAAGTGATATATCTTTCATTTCATATCATTTATTTTTTATTATTTTGTCATATTATAGGATTCTTGTAAGGGTTATTTATACCCCCGTTCATATCAATGAAACAAATATAGCATTCCAGTTTATTCCATATTATTTTGAATTTCAATATGGAATCAGAGAAAGGTTTTGTACCCTAACCACCAGTCATCCTTTGAGAATTGTCAGACTCCCTTCCTGTCATCCTCTGTGCAGGAAGGGAGGGACACTCATCTTGATATTTGAAACAACGATTTTTTCTCCTTCTCTTCTTGCAAGCTTTGTCTGCTAGTAGGCCCTTCTTGAACCGGAAGTCACGTGACCTACTCGTCCTATTCTGCTCCTCCTCAGCCCCCTTACCGAGCAGGGATCGAGCACAGGTCTCACATGTGTGCGAGGATGCACCCTTATTGCTAGGACGTGGTTGGGGCCGCTCGTTGAGGAAGGCAATCTAGCGTTGTTGATCACATAAATCTGAACTCCCCCAATCTCCAGAACCTTCCGGATCTCCGCCAGACGAACCACATTATGGTAAGACAACCGTCGTATCTGAATCACGCGATGCCCGGCATGTCGCTCCGAGCGTCAATAGAGGCAAAATGCACAAGAGCCGGCACGAGACAGAACATGTTGCGTTATTTGCGCACGACATTCTCATGAGCCGAACAAATCGAGAAGGAGGTTGTGAACAGGGGCTCCAGCCAGGGTGGCACAAGCGATGCCGCCATCTGCCTCATCGTCATCTCGCCGAAAATATCGCAGTCGTCGATCGGACAATGCCGGTAAAATCCATCACCGGCCCTTCCTCCTACAGTATTTTTTTTCCTTCCCTGCCAAAGGGTCAAGGGGAGCTGCGTTTCTAGCAGGTCATTTCTCCTGCAGTATTTTTTTCTTCCCTACCCAAGCGTCAGGGGGAGTTGTATTTCCAGCCTATCCTCTTGTAGTATTTTTTTTCTTCCTGGCTCAAGCGTCAAGGGGAGCTCTGTTTCCAGCCGCCCTTTCTTATGTCGCTTTCTCTGTCAGCAGAATTTACTTGGTGTGATTTACATGTTTTTTTCTGCAGCCAAAGACAACCGCGGTCAGCTAAAAGTCAATTTTTCTGTAGGTTGTCTCTTACCCTGCAAAACTCAAAATTCAGTCAAGTCTGAATCCAACAAATTCAGTCAAGCATAAATCTCTCTTCTACGTCGAAACATATGACATATATAACTCGAAATTCAGTCAAGCTTGAATCCAACAAATTCATCCATGTCTAAATCTCTCTTTTACATTGAAACATATGACAGACAAAACTCAAAATTTAGCCAAGCCTGATTCTAACAAATTCGATAATCCAAACAACCAATTTTTCTCACTACTCAGAAAGTTGAGACTTATTAACATAAATTCCAAACTTGAGGGGAAGTGTTAAGGATTATAATAAGAAATAATTTATTCCTACAAGAAGTTATGAGGAATAAATTATTTCTTTAATATAAAAAAATATTTTTATTCCTATTTTATATTTATTTCCTTAAATTATGAATTATTTATTTTCCTATTTTATGTTATTTCCTATATCTTGTAATAATTAATATGAATTAAATATAGGAGATATCGTGTGATATATCTTTTCTTTCATACAATTTTTTTATTATTTTTCCTATTATAGGATTCTTTTAAGGGTTATTTATATCCTCGTTTATATCAATGAAAAAAATATAGTATTACACTTTATTCCGCATTATTCTGAATTTCAACAACAACCATCACTAGATCATCATCAATTGTCAACAAGCAACCATTGTCGCCTGAATATCACTCGACCATCAACTTTTGACTTTATCATCTGAGTGGCATTACGCAATCGTCTTTTAAACAAGTGTTGAGTACATTACTTCAAAAATCCATCTTCTATAATTAAAAATCATATAAAATGTACATACATATGTGTATATATATATAGATAAGACCTCTACATATACATACATATAAATATGTATATACATCTATATACATATGAATATATATGTACATATGTATATATAGATATGTACTTCTATATATATAAATATATCTGTGTGTGTATACACACAGAGACTTGATTAGTTCACTAAATAAGTTGATAACCAATAAGTACAACCTTAGGTAGTAATTAAAAAAATTAATTAATTAATTTTAGTCGAATAAACACATAAATTGACTCAAATGCAACCACATTTGGCTCATCTTGAACTCAACTCACAATGAAATAGATATCTTGGATTTCAATTCAAGGCTAGCTTAGATGAACTCAACTTGATGTCAGCCCAAATCAAAGGCAAACTCTGAGGTTGAACGCTAGCATCCATCTTTAGAGTACGTGCTAAATCGTTTCCAGCTATAGATGTTCAAACACTAAATTCTTTCTCAAAAAAAGAAAATTCTCAGCACGCAACACTAATATTAAGGAATAATCTCAAACAACAACTCATGATAAAACAACTGATCATCACTGTAATAATTGGATACCTAACTTGAAACATAACTCAATAAATACAATTGCTCGAATCAGTAATGCAGTAGGATTCATCAATTTTTGGGAGAAAAAGTTGAATTGACCCTCGTCCAACCATAAAAGCAGGCAGTCGGCATAGCATAATATCATCCTCTAAAAATGACAAAAAAAGATAAATTTTTACTGCAGTTTTGTTAAAATCCATCTGAAACTCGAATGTTTTAATTTTTCTAACATTGCCGAAGTTTACTGACCAGGTTTTAACATTTGAAAGTAAAATCTAGCCTAGTTATGCAGAAACCCTAGAAATCAATTGAAGCAAAATGACATGAAGAAGATAATAGAGGGTAGTATAAGCGGAATGGGAAGAGAGAAACGGAGAGCCACTGACCTGCAGGAAGAAGTTCCAAACACAGTGGGTATCGTTCGATCTGGCAGTTAAAGGATTAGAAGAAGAGGAAGAGGGAGAAAGGGAGGGAGAAAAAGCAGAGGGACGTGGTCGGGATATTACTATCTAGCGAGATGAAGAAGACGATATTTTGTTCCGCCGTGTAAACGAATAGTTTGTTTGAAGGTAAGTGGTCGCGATATTACTATCTAGCGAGATGAAGAAGACGATATTTTGTTCAGCCGTGTAAACGAATAGTTTGTTTGAAATAAGCTGATGTTTAAAATTGTTCGTGAAGTCACTGCTTGTGTTCGTTTCTGAATGAGTCGAACACGAGCTATTCGTGAACGACGAGTCAGTTTGACATCCCTAAAATTAATACATATAAATAATATAGTAGATTAATTATATAATTTATATTATATAAATATATAATATCTACATTAGTATATTACTAATATAATATATTAATATATTATTATTATTAATTTATTATATATTATAATTTATAAAATTTATATATATAATTATTTTAAATCAGACTGTTCGTGTTTAGTTCGTTTAACTAACTGAACGAAAAAATTTGTTCACGTTCGTCTCGTTTACTTATCGAACAAATCGAACACAAACTCATTGACGAACCGAACACAAACTGTTCGCAAACAACGAGCTTTTTTGACAGCCCTACATATAATGAAATAAATTTTTTAAAATATTTCTAAACTTATAAAATATTTAATTAAAACTTTAAGGAAATTATTCAATTTTTTTCTATTTTTAAAAAACACTTAAAGTTAAAAATTAAAATCTAGAACTTGTATTATTATCATTCATCGAGAGGGTTTTGATGTCTAGCTATTAGTTTTCTCCAAAATCTGGTTATGCACTCCTCCCATTTTCTTCTCCTAATTTCACCATTTAGCATGAATCTCAAGATATTTTTTGAGTAAAGAATATTCTATGTCAAAGTAAATTCATCAAGAGCTTCGATTTCGGCAAACTTATAATCAAATTGGTCGACTAGACGAGACAACCCCAATGATATCAAAATTGATTCAATTCAAGTCAAATCAACCCCAAATCAAGTTGTTAAACCACTTTTGGAGACATTAGTTGGTTACTGAGTGGTCAAATAAACTCTAAATTTGACATGCTTATAATCAAATCAAATGTTTCGATGAGAGGAATCCAACGAGCCCAAGCTCACTTCATTCTGAGGTCATTAAGGTCATTAGATCATCAAGAAACCTCCTATAATCAAAAGGAATCAATGTGGGACGTTTGATCGGGCGGTTATAATGATTATTTGTTAAATGATGAAAATGCCTCTGGTCGCTGTCGGACTGGTCGTTGTTGCCGCCGCCACTTCTCCATCGTTTGTCGGGTGTTGATGTTGTTATTGTCGAGGAGTCGCCACTTTGTTGTCAATTACATTGCCCTATTCTTTGAATAACTTCTTTTCTCATATGATATAAGTGACCTTACGATATTAAGAAACTTCGAGAAGAAAAGAAAGGGCAAATGAGAATAGAAAACAAGTAAAAGAAAAGTGTGGGGAGAACTTCATTATGGTAAACTTTGTAGAGAGAATTCTGGAGTATTTGACTCTTGAGATACTCATACAAAGAAAACCACATGAAATTGCATAACCAGAGATTTATGTATGATATTTATTCCTCATATAAGACAAGCTCTTATAGTTAATTACATCCTTGTCAGTCAAGACTGTATAAGAAAACTTCCGATTAAGGTTAACGTTTCTTCTCGAAAAGTTTAAATGTTGTCTAAGGGTGATATGTTTAAAAATTCAATAACACTTAAAAGTTTTATTTATTTGCATTTTGTCATTGTTGTGTTGTTGTTTTGTTTTTTCATTTTGTATTGTGATTTTGTTTTATCATTTTGTGTTGTTGTTTTGTATTTTTGTTTTGTTTTTTTGTCAAAAGTTTTGAGGTTCACAGCTTCAAGCTTTAAAATGTTGTTCCTGCAAACCAGAGTTTGTACACCCTAATAACATGTAAAATAAATATAAAAGCAACATGACTTATGTCTTCAGCAGTCCTACAAAACAAAGTTAGTACAAAATTATATTTTGATTAGTTGATTTAATATGTTAAATTTTTAATTTTTAGACAACCTGGTTAAGATGTCTATGGCTCCGTCGTCCTGGGTTCGTCAAGGTATTCAAATCTACATACTTCTAAAGGTGATTAAACCACAACCGAAAGATTCTTATCAATAATCACAGATTGTGTCATCCAAGAGAATCTTCGTAGATTTGAACAATAAAGTTCAAGTTGCAATCAGTGATCTTTGGTTGTTTTCATATAAGTTTAATGTCTTCTTCGGATTTTAAGGGTTGGAAAATTTTAGGTTGTTTATGACTTATTAGCTAACTAATTATTGTCATTTTTTTTTCATTTGAAATGATCCAGTCAAGATCTCATGATTTCATCGTCCCGGATCATTAAATTTTACAGTTTGATTAGTCAAAAGTGACTAGATGATACTTTGTCAGAAATCAATAGTTACCTCCCCAAAGTATCTTTTCAAACCAGGTTGTATTTTAGGTTTGAGTTTAAGTTTTAGTATCTTTAAGGTGAATTTTCATGTTGGTTGATTTAAGGTTTATATCGGTTGGTTTAAAGTTGTCTTAATTTTTCTTAACTGAGGTTTGAGCGAGCTTTTTATCCTCGCACGAAGAAGTAAAACCCTGCTTAAACTTCAGTTATATTAATTCATGTTGAACTAACCTAAAATAAGTTTCTAGTTAACCTATATTAGGTTGAGTCAAATCAAAGGTTTAGTGGTTTGAATCTAACCCAAGCTAGGTCAGATTGGCTTGATTGATTAGACCCAAGTTATATCTAGGTTAGGCTAGGAATAATAGTCCATGCTCAATCTAAGTTGAACCCAAAAAGGTTGATTAAGTCTTATGTAGGCTATACTTAGGATTTAGGTTGAACCTAGGCTTTAGGTTCAATTTAGAATGTTTTAGGTTCAAGTTATGTTGAACCTAAGAGTTTGGGTAGAGTTAGGTTCAAGTTTGGGTTGAACCTAAGGATTTGGATTGTTTTGGATTCAAGTTGGGTTGAACTTAAGGGTTTAGGTTGTTTGAGGTTAACTTAGGTTCAAGTTGGGTTGAACCTAAGGGTTTAGATTGACTTAGATTCAAATTGAGTTGAACATAAGGATTTGGATTGATTTAGATTCCAACTGATTGAACCTAAGGGTTTAGGTTGTGAGGTTAACTTAGGTTCAAGTTTGGTTGAATCTAGAATGACTTAGATTCAAATTGAGTTGAACTTAAGGATTAGGTTGAAGTTAGGTTGGTTTGAACCTAAGGATGTGGGTTGGGTTTAAATCTAATTTAAGTAAGGTTTAAAAAATTAAGTCTAAATATGTGTTAGACTTAATTAGGAGTTCAGTTTAACTGAGCCTAAAACTTAAGGGACGTAATTAAGTCTAGTATCTGTTAGACTTAATTAGGGTTAAGAATTGGTTAAGCCTAATTTATGTAAGTTTTAATGGATTAATTCAGTCTAATAGAGTTTAGACCTAATTGGGGGTTGAAGGTTCTTTAAAACTAATTTAATTAAGACTTAAAGGATTAATTAGGTCTAATTACGGTTAGACCTAATTTGGGTTTAAGGTTGACTAAGCCTAATTTAGTTAAGGCTTAAAGGATTAGTTATGCCCAATTAGGATTAGACCTAATTAGGGTTTAAGGTTGATTAAGCCTAATTTAGTTTAGGCTTAAAGGATCAAATAAGTACAATTTAGGTTAGATCTAATTAGGGTATAAGGTTGATTAAGCCTAATTTAAGTAAGGCTTAATGGATTAATTAGGTCTAAGTGAGGTTAGACCTAAATAGGGTTTAAGATTGATTAAGCCTAGTTTAAGTGAGGCTTAAAGGATTAATTAGGCTTAATTGGGGTTAAACCTAATTAGGGTTTAAGGTTGATTAAGCCTAATTTATGTAAGGCTTAATGTATTAATTAGGTTTAATTAGGGTTTAAGATTGGTTAAGCCTAATTTAGATAAGGCTTAAGAAGTTTATTAAATCTAATATGAGTTAGACTTAATTAAAGTTAAAGGTTTGCTTAAGCCTAATTTAAGTTCAGGCTTAAAGGTTTAATTAGGTCTAAAAGGATTCAGACATAATTAGGGTTTAAGATGTACTTAAGCCTAATTTAGGTAAGGTTTAAGGGTTTATTTTGATCTAATAAGGGTTAGACCTAATTAAGGTTTAAGGTGTACTTAAGCCTAATTTGGGTGAGGCTTAAGGGTCTAATTAGGTCAAATAGATAGTTAGACCCAAATTAAGGTTTAAAAAGTACTTAAACCTAATTTAGGTAAAGTTTAAGGGTTTGATCAGGTCTATTGTGGGCTAGACCTAATCATGGTTTCTGGTAATCTAAGACTCAGGTCATAGGATTGGATTAGGTCTAACTAGTTGAACTCAAATCTAACCTAATTTTATGTCCAAATTAGATCAACCTTAAGTCATATAGTCCAAACAAAAATTTGGGCTAAGTTGTAATTTTTGAATTTACAAGTAAAACCCCCAAAGGTCTAAGTTGTCATTTTAAACCTTTACAAAGATTAATAATTTGGTTTGAGACATTAGATTAATCCCAAGGATTTTCTAACCAATTCCAATTTTTTGATATTTTATAATTATTTTTTAAAACATTTACAAAATTTGGTGAAAATTGGTTAATTTCAATATGAGGATTTTTCTAACTTTGGAAAAATCACGGAATGTTTCTAAGGATGGAAGGAATATCCTCTGTGAATTTTGTATTTTTTTATATTTATAATTAATTTTTAATAATTAAATTACTCCATAGAGTAATTAATTAATTAAAATTAAAATTTAATTTAATAATATTAAATTTATTTTTATTATTTTCCCTTTGCTGTGCTGAGTTCAGGGATATTTTTTATTTATTTTTATGATTTTTCTTCGCAAAGTTATGATTTTTCAAATGTTTTAGGAATTTTTTGGATTTAAATAAATAGAAAAATCCTATTTTTCTATTTATTCAGCAAGGCACCAGCTCGAACCTAGGATTCCTTGAAGCTCTACGTGACGACATTGGAATGCC